ACAAGTCTCCTATGTTCAGTGTCATCTCAGTGTAAGAACTAAAGAATAGGCCGGGCTCGGTGGCTCATGCCTGTGATCCCAGCACTTGGGAGGCCGATGCGGGCAGATCACCTGAGGTCAAGTGTTCTAGACCAGCCTGGCCAACATGACGAAACCCCGTCTCTACTAAAAATTAAAAAATTAGCCAGGTGTGGTGGTGGGCACCTGTAATCCCAGCTACTTGGGAGGCTGAGGCAGGAGAATCGCTTGAACCCGGGAGGCAGAGGGTGCAGTGAGCCGAGATTGTGCCACTGCACTCCAACCTGGATGACAGAGCAAGACTCTAAAAAAAAAAAAAAAAAAAAAAAAAAGAACACAGGGATAAGTGAGAAAAGCAATAACATCACTAATTTATTCATTAATTAAGTCAGCAAATAACTACTGAATATGGATAACTGACATCTTTATGCTTTCTGAATTCAGGGTTACAACGTTCAGTAATTCAACTGTAAGTTGATTATTTTTTGTATATTTTTGACATTGTGTATAGCTTTTGCTAGGCAGAATGCTACGTATAGTCAATGGATGAGGCAGAAACACCCAAGTTTATAGTCTGTCTGGGGAGGGAGAGAATCAAGTTAACATAATAAGAAAAACAAAGGTGTGAATTTTAAAATTATAACTTGAAATATGTTCCACAAAGGGAAAAAACACAGCATTAAGTTTCAGAACATAGAGAATGGGGAATGCTTATTTCAGAGAGAACTTTCAAGGTAGCCTCACTGAGGTGTTACATTAGGCCATTCTTTCATTGCTATAAAGAAGTACCTAAGACTGTGTAATTTATAAGAAAAGAGGTTTAATTGGCTCACATTCTTCAGGTTACGCAGGATGCATAGCAGCTTCTGCTTTTGGAGTGGGGGGTACCAGGAAGCTTCCAATCATGGCAGAAGGCAAAGAGGGAGCAGTCATCTTACACAGCAGGAGCCAGAAGCAAGAGAGGGGCAAGGGAGGTGCCACGCGTGTTTAAGGGACCAGATCTCATGAGAACTCACTCACTCTTGTGACGACAGCACCAAGGGGGATGGTGCTAAACCATTCATGAGAAATCCACCCCCATGATCCAATCACCCTCCACCAGGCCCCACCTCCAACAATGGAAGTACAAATCACCATAAGATTTGATGGGGACACAGATCAAAACCATATTAGGTGGTTACTATTAAGGAGCCAGTCAAAACTCTTACCTTTACACAGTTCTGAACCAGGGTACTTAACCAGATCATAATTTTATTCAGCTTGGTTTATCTCAGCAGTTCTCAAAGTATTGTCCAGATACCAGTAGGGGTTCCAAAACTCTTTCAGAGGAGCCATGAGGTCAAAACTCTAATACTAAGATCATGATATTATCTTGCCTCTTTTACTCTCATTATCTTATGAAGGTATGGTGATTTCCAGAAGCTACATGGCATGTGAGATGTCACATTAGATTGAATGAAGAAAGTGTCCTTTATTAAGCCAAACATTAATGAGATTTGCAAAAGTATGTGTAATAGTGTCATTTCCTCACTCAATGTTTTTGTTTTAGACAATATAGTTATGGTGATAAAAACATGTTATTTGGCCGGGCATGGTGGCTCACTCCTGTAATCCCGCACTTTGGGAGGCTGAGGCAGGCGGATCACCTGAGATCAGGAGTTCGAGACCAGCCTGACCAACATGGAGAAACCCCATCTCTACTAAAAATACAAAATTAGCTGGGTGTGGTGGCGTGCGCCTGTAATCCCAGCTACTCAGGAGGCTGAGGCCAGAGAATCTCTTGAACCTGGGAGGCAGAGGTTGCAGTGAGCCGAGATCACACCATTGCATTCCAGCCTGGGCAACAAGAGAGAAACTCCATCTGAAAAAAAAGAAAAAAACAGCGTTATTTACGTTAACATGTCATGGGTTTATTATTGCTATTTTACAATAATTTAACAAACACCTTAAAAATTTCCAAGTTTTAATTTTCAGTATGGTAAAAATTGATAGATAAAGCCCCATAAACCAAAGTTCTTTTGAGTTCTCAAACAAATTTAGGAATATAAAGAGGTTCTGAGATTTAAAATTCTGGGAACTCCTGGTTTTGCTAGTAAAATTAAGGACAGGTAAAAAGAATATTATCACTAGACAAACTGAAAGATACCTAAGATGATATACAAAAAATGATCCCTGCTAACCTTCCAAGTTTGGACATAAATTGAAAACATCTGTCTGAAAACTAAAACATTCAGTCAAACATCTCCAATGTTCCAAAAATCCCAATGTGTAGCAGGTTATGGACAAAACATTCTGAGTATTTGAGTGAGTGGGGGCAGGGCTCCATGAGGAGGAAGGTTCTGGTGCCCCATAGACCCAGACTGAGTGTTTTCCATTTTAATTGGAAAACTTTGCAGCCTCTTGTTTATAGCACAGGGGATAGGAAATCACGCATTTGTAAGTGAAATAAAAATAGAACCAACTCTTCAATTTAAACTTCTGGAATCTTTTCCTTGAAATGTTGCCTGCAGGTCTCTCTACCCAATTATTCTGCACCAGGACTGCTCAGCCACTGTCCGAGATGATCAATCCTGAACCTAACACCATAAAATATTCAATCGCTCCATACCTTGGCCTGCTCTCTGGGCATTGTAAGTGCAGCACCTCGGTCATATTTTTGCCTAATTTTTACTCTTATCAGTAAAACTAGAAGTAATAAGACTCCCAATGATAAGAGATCATTATGAAGGAAAAGTTTCTTCAACATTTATTTTTTAACACTTAAGTTCATTCTTCTGTAATTCCAAAGAAAAATTATCCATTTTATCTTGTAAAATTATATATATTTTACATTTTATCTGAAATGAAACTAGAGCCCTCCCCACCACCAAGAAGTCAAGAACAACAAAAAAAGCCCACTAAAAAAAGAAAAGATTGAAAAATAGCAGAATATATTAAATTGGAAGATTATTGTGGATATTCTTATAGTCTTGATGTCCTGTACCCTAAGAAACATTTTTTCCACCAGACTTTGCAAGCAGAAATTATCAGACTACTTTGTGAATCCTTCTATTTGAATGTAACTTTTTGAAGGTTCTAGCCTACTTTTCCTATTGTAAATATGCTCGTGCAAATGTATATGAAGTAATATGTATGAAAGTGCTATACACTATAGTACAGTAACATATTGGATTATTGTTGTAAGTTAAGAAAGCAAAATAAAGGCCAGGCATGGTGCCTCATGCTTGTAATCCCAGCACTTTGGGAGGCTGAGGTGCATGGATCACTTGAGCTCAGGAGTTTGAGACCAGCTTGGGCAACATGGTGAAACTCTGTCTCTATCAAAAATACAAAAATTAGTTGGGCATGATGGCACATGTCTGTGGTCCCAGCTACTCTGGAGGCTGAGGTAGGAGGATTGCTTTAGCCTGGGAAGCCAAGGCTTCAGTGAGCTGTGATCACCCCAGTGCACTCCAGCCTGGGTGACAGAGTGAGACCCGGTCTCAAAATAAATAAATAATTTTTTTAAAAAAAAAAAAAGCAAAATAAAATATGATCTTTTTAAGTAAAAGCTATTGATGATATTCCTATTTAATCAACTTCCATCAATCTGTAATAATGCCTTGCTGAATCCAAAGTCTCCTTTTCAATTGACTAATGGAACATTTCTAGACTGACCCATTGGAGTATAGATGCCATCAAGTAATCCATCTGTAATCTGGAGCCACTTTTGTTTAAAGCTGTCCAAGTGCTTCTTGGATACTTATTAATCTATTCCAGAAAGATTCTCTATTAGCAAAGTTCCCCTACCTGCCTGAGTATTGAACCAAAAAATAATGGTTTGTAGGTATTATAGTAGACAATGGCCAAACTTTACCATTATGTCTATAATTATTTACACAAATTTATTTAAGTTCAATGATACATTTTCCAGAGCTAAACTTTTCAATTCAGAAAGTCAATGGGTTTTCTGAACTTAAAAAAAAAAAAAGAAAAGAAAAGTCAAGCATTAGAATAACAAACTCATGATAATTGTCATTCCTGTTCTGAGGACTCAGTTTGTTTGAAAAGATTTAACTACAAAAAAGAAAAACAGTATTCAATGAATGTGAGGATGTGGACTCATTCATATATTTCCTTGAAATAGATTGTTAATAATAGTTAAAAAGACAATACTACACTGTAAGATGAAACTACTTCAATGTAATTATTCGGTCATCAAAGACTATGAACATATAAATACAGAATTATGTAATATCTTCCATAAAGTGGCCATTTACTTCAAGGTCATCATATCACTTTAACATTCTTAAGATTTTCAGTATATTATGACTATGATTTGGAAAGGTGAGGGGAGGTCTGCAGAAAATATTTTACTTCATGGATATGCTTGTGTGTATGATCTTAATTATTCACCAAAGTTTCTATGTTTCATCTTCATTTCCCTGATAGTATTACTCTAAAATTAGGAAATGGAGGCCCGGCCCGGTGGCTCAAACTTGTAATCCCAGCACTTTGGGAGGCCGAGGTGAGCGGATCATGAGGTCAGGAGATCGAGATCATCGTGGCTAACACGGTGAAACCCCGGCTCTACTAAAAATTCAAAAAAAATTAGCCGGGCATGGTGGCAGGTGCCTGTAGTCCCAGCTACTCGTGAGGCTGAGGCAGGAGAATGGTGTAAACCCGGGAGGCAGTGAGCCGAGATCGCGCCACTGCACTCCAGCCTCGGTGACAAAGCAAGGCTCCCTCTGAAAAACAAACAAACAAACAAACAAACAAAAAAACGAGAAAGAAAAGGGAAAGATGTAAAAATGTGTTTTCTTCTTAAATCTTTTACCATCCTCAACAAATATTGTTGAGAACTTCACCCCTGGTTACTAAGGGGAAAAAATTTACAATGCATGTTTGGCACACAGATGTCCAAAGGAGACACTGCCTATCCTTAAGTGTATCATATGCTTAGAAAGAAAGACATCTTTCTGAGGAAAAAGAATAGGCAAGGGTGGAATTCCAACTTTCAACTTTATGATATAAATAACTTTGCTTATATTGAAGAAGAAAAAAGAGCAAGGAACCTTCAATAGTCCTTACACATTTCTGGGAGGTGGTAGCTAGTGCCATGCCCTACACTGCCCAGCATTCACAATAACTTACAACAATAAAATCATAGCTTTTGCCCCAAATAATTTCATCTGTCAATCATACATGATAAATTGGATTATGAGATTATTAGCACATAGTTAAATGTATTTAAATTCCCATTTGTACAGCTGATGGAGATTTCTATAAATGAACACTAGCACCAGAGCCTATACAACATGGAAAATAGCATATGTAGCACAAATCAGGCAAAATATTTGGGATCATGTATGCTTAATATGTGATACATCTGAACATTTTTCATTAGCATTTTGGCGTTTTCTTTCTCCATCCTAGCTCTAGGTTGTGTTGCTAATGGACAATATAGAGGGTATAAAGTATCCAACTTCCTTCTTCTTTTCCTTAGTTGGAGCTGAGCAATCCATTGGCACATTCAGTGGGGCAGGAGTGGTTGGCAGGGTTAGGGCTGATGAAGAAGCCTGTGAAATCACAGTATTGACTACTTAGGGGTGTTGAACAAATAAATGAATAAATCGACAATAATGGCAAGCAGGTTTCTCACCTTTGGAGAAGAAATTACAAATATAGAAAGATGAATGCTGCAATTAAACCTGCAGTACTGAATTGGAATTGGAAGTGTCAGTGTAGAATCATGGTTTTTAAATATACATAAACAGAAATAGACAGAGCTGTAGGTGTGCACGAGTGGGTGTGTGTATACAGGCACATCTTTTCTAGCTCCATCTGCAAAAAGGGCCTAGATGCAATGACACCCTGATAGAAATAAATATCCAGGGTACTCAGGTGTTGATTTCAAAGTAGTAGCATTTGCTACTAAGGAAAAACCAAAGGTCCTTGGTAAGTGACTGAATCAAGGACTAGAGCAGGGAAACAACAAAATAAGCCTGGAATATCTTGTGCCAGAAAGTAAAAGCATGTTCAAAGAATTGTGAGGGCAAGTCAAAAGGACAAGAAAGCCAGCTTGAAAGGGCTTTTACTAACAAAGCCTGGGACAACTTGATCATCAAGTATTATAATTATAATATTGGAGTGTAACTCATTGAGTAAAAGAAGATTCTGAGCCAATACTGGTATACATGGTAGGCAGATAGATAAGATAAATGATATACGGATGGATGAATGGATGGATAGATGGATGGGTAGATAGATGGACAGATAGCGCTACCTTATAGCAGAATAACATATATGTAAAGAGAATGATAGATTATACAAAATCACCATTTACCACCCATTATAGAAATAATTTATACAGGCAAAGGTCATCAAAGGATGGTAAAACTAGTGGGTGAAAGCTCAATGAGAAAGAAGATATTTATAGTCTCAAACTATTCCCCACAAATTACTTAATTATTCATTACTTAATACGTACAAAACACATATTAAATATTCTAAACCCAGAAAATACCATCTAAACAAAGTGGTAAGACTTAAATAGCACCAAGAATGAGACAACGAACATCATGTACCTGCAGAAATCATGTACTAAGAACACAACATCAATACATGGTACTTCCTCATACAATGTATAAATCACAAAGAAAACATGAGATGAAACTAAATTCTGGAACATTCTGCAAAATAATTGTCTTATATTCTCTAAGAATACCAAGGTAATAAAGACAAGGAAAGAGTGAGGTGCCGGGCGCGGTGGCTCACGCCTGTAATCCCAACACTTTGGGAGGCCTAGGTGGGCGGATCACGAGGTCAGGAAATCGAGACCCTCCTGGCTAACATGGTGAAATCCCGTCTCTATTAAAAATACAAAAAAATTAGCTGGACGTGGTGGGGGCGCCTGTAGTCCCAGCTACTCGGGAGACTGAGGCAGGAGAATGGCGTGAACACGGGAGGCGGAGCTTGCAGTGAGCCGAGATGGCGCCACCACACTCCACCTGGGCAACAGAGAGAGACTCCGTTTTTTTAAAAATAAAAAAAAGACAAAGACTGAGGAACTGTTCCATATTGAAGAAAACTGAAGAAACATGACAACTAAATGCCACATGTGATCTTGGATTGGATCCTGGACTTCATAAAGAATGTTATGATAATTGGCAAAATTTGAATAGGGTCTATGGATTGGATGGTAATATGTTATCATTGTCAATTTCCTAATTGTAAAGATTTAATTGTGATTACATAGGAGAGTATCCTTGTTTTTAGGAAATACACATTGAAAGTAATAAGATACGATGTCTGAAACTTACTCTCCAATGCTTCAGAAAAGTATATAGTAATATGCACATATTATGCATATTGTGTGTTGTTTGTGTGTACAGAGAGAAAGACAGACAGAGAGAACGGTAAAATAAATGCACTAAAAGAATATTTGGGAACTTGATTGAGGAGTACTATCAAGATTGAGAGATCTTTGTGTTGTTTCTGCATCTTTTCTATAAATTTAAAATCATTTCAAAATAAAAAAAGAAAAAAGCTTAATTTTCAGTACCCCTCAATAAAATAGCAGGAAGCCCTCTTTTTTAAAACAACAAATATGTGTGTGTACACATACACACACAAATACAAGAAGCAATGGCCCAGAGTCTACAAACAATAATTCAAGCTTATATTAAACCATCAAAATATAACAAGGAAAAATACTTGTCCATTTCACCCAGTTCTGTTTCCCAGAAGATAAATCTCAAAATTTGGGTTCCAATTTTATGTCCACTTTTCTCTATTTCAATTTATTGATTTCCAGTTTCTCAGAGAATTATTTTGGCAGATTGTACCTTTTCTAATATTTCTCAGTGAGGCCACCTTCCAAATACTCTGTCTAAAGTTTTATAAATGTTCTCAATATAACCACATATCATATCTCTCCCATGTGGAAAAATAGAGAGATTTTTAAAATTCATACACAATACCTAGCATTTTAATTTGAGGAATTGTGCCTGAAAAGTAACTTTTTCTCCCCCTAGTGTTTGGACGTAAAGCATGGGGCCTTGGATGGTAGGCAGGAAAGACCGGTATTACTAGAGGTGTTTCTTTCCAGGATAGGAGTTTTGTAATACAATAAATTTCATGTTTTCTGTGTGATTTTCTTTAATTCTAGATATTATCTTTCATGATTAAAGTTTAAGACTATCTTCTAGTTAGGATATCTTTTAGAAAGAAAATCTTGGTCTCAGTATGTGAGTGATAAGCTATAATAAGCAATTCTCTGTGTTACACTCTTTTAAGTTTTAAAATTTTAAATCAATTAACAACTGAGTTTTAGGAAGTATATTAGTCAGGGTTCTCTAGAGGGACAGAACCAATAGGATATATATATGTAAAGGGGAGTTTATTAGAGAGAATTGACTCAAACTATTATAAGGTAAAGTCCCACGACAGGCCATCTGCAAGCTAAGGAAACAGAGAAGCTAGTAGACTGGCTCAGTCTACATCCAAAAGCCTCAAAACCAGGGAAGCCAACAGTGCAATGCTTAGTCTGTGGCTGAAGAACTGAGAGCCCCCAGGTGGCCACTGGTCCAAGTCCCAAAGTCCAAAGGCTGAAAAACTTGGAGTCTGATGTCCAAGGGCAAGAGAGGAAGCAAGCCTCCCGCAGGCCATGGGAAAAAAGAGCCAGACAGAGAAGACACAGCAAGCTGCTTATCCCCTTCTTCAGCCTGCTTTGTTGGCGCCACAATGGCAGCCAATTGGATGGTGTGCACTCAACGTTTAGGGTGGGTCTTCTTCTCCCGGTCCATGGGCTCCATGTCAGTCTCCTCTGGCAACACCCTCACAGACACACCCAGAAACAATACTTCATCGGCCATCTAGGCATCCTTCAACCCAGTCAACTTGACACCTAATAGTAAATAACATAAAAGTTATAAACTTCTCCCCCGAAAGAAACTAAATGCTGTGTTTGCTATATTGTGATGATGAAAAAATTGAGTTTTGGTAGAAATCTAGTGTTACAGAAGTCTCAGCTAGATTCAAAATGGTGATGATGAGATGATGATGTCGATAGTAGTGGTAGTGATGGTGCTGATTGTGAGGATGATTATAAAGAAGAAGGAAGAGGGAATTAGAATGACAATGTTAAGGATTATATGTACCAACATTTGAGAGCCTATTTAGGTCCTGTTTTAAGTGCCCCACGCACCCTTAGCATACTTAATCATTAAATAACTCCATGAGGTAAGTATTATCATTATGCACATTTTGGAAGTGAAAAATAATTAGTTCCAGAGAGATCAGGTAAATTGCCAAAGGTCACAGAATGAACAAAAGGTAGAACCAAGCTCCAAACCCAGGTCAATATGTCTCCCTCGCAGTAACGTGTTGAATTGGGAGTTACCCTTCTCCTCTCTGGCCCCTCTACCAACACACATCAACTATATTCCCTGAATGTTCACAGAACATAGAAGTTGCATGGAAAATAATTTTAATCCTGTCCACTGTTATACTTCAGATATACAGACATATATGCCTGACATATATAGGGGGACTATGGAAGCAACATTATAGATGGCAACCAAGAAGCCTGTGTGTTAGAGAAGAGAGAAATTCATAAGTGAGGGCAGCCTCGGTAACTGCTTGAAGGGAGCAAGAGCAGTGGTTCGTGATACAGACGCTACTAGAATCCACACTAACCTAGAGAAAGTGTTTCTCTGCTCTGGGAAGATGAAAACTAAATTGCAAATCTGAAAGAAAAACAACCGAAGATTCCAGCAACTCTGCTGAGTGGCCTTCTCTCCGTCTCACTGCCACTGAATAGGGGATGTAAGAGGGAGAAGGTACTACCCGGATCACGGTGGGGGAAGCAGTCACGTCAATCATGTTCAAGGTAGAGAAAGTCAGCACAACTGCCTGGGCAGCCAGAGGGGACATCAAGAGCCAGCAGGCATTGGAGCAGTCCAGCACTCAGCCACCAAGAAGGACAAGCTGAGAAAGAGCTGCAGCAGAGGCAGGCAGGGGAGCAGCAAAGCTGGGGTATACATTTCAAACTAGGACACCTTTCTTGGAAACCTGAACTGAGACCCCAAAAAACAGAAGGACTGAGTTTCTCTGTTTAAGGGTGAGAGCTCTTCAGTTCTGAGACGTAGAAGTAAAGCCTTAAAGTTGCCTGTTCTCAGGTCTACAGAGTCTAGGCACCCAAGCATGCTTGGGTTAACACTAATTTAATAACAGGCTACCCTATTTTTAATAAATATCTAGATTTGCTTTCTTGTATTGAGTCCTTAAGATGCCTACTTTTACTTCATAAGTTTCTGTCATAAAAGATGAGCCAGGAAAAAGCAAACTATGATTCTGTGTGTTTTCCTAACAAACCATTCAACCATCCAAATGTGAAAACTGATGATTTGCTATCTTTCAGACCGCTCTTCCCACACGGTGGTAAAAGCTTGTTTAGACATTCAAACAGATCTGGTGTGCTACCATGACTTCATTCATTCACTCATTCAGCAAATATTTGTTGAACGTTTACTCTGTGCCAAGTACTTGATATGCACAAAGCAAAGGTTCCCCACCC